TTCATGGCATTTTAAAATTAGAATTTTAAGTGTATTCTATTTCCTTCGTTTTTATTTCTGTAGCACTAACTACCACAGATAAATCCTCCTTCCCTGAAAGAGTCATCAGGTGTCACTTCATACAGAATCCCCTTCAAAATTTATAATAGTTCAACCAAATTTCATAGTTAAGGTTGGAAATAAAATTATTTGTTTTGAAACAGCAGTGCTTGCAGTTCTTGAATTTAATTTTAAAAAGTTATTGTCCTTCTAATTACATTTATGTTTCAATTAGGATTTGATATTTCTAGTGTGATTTCATGTTTCTAACACATACCTCATCTCTGGAATTTGAGCTACCAGTGTACCTTTAAGTATTTTCATACACCCTCAACATAATGCAAGTGCTAGAAGGAGCTGCACAACAAAAGTCAGGTGGTTACACACCTTGTCTTTATGTGGTCTCTCTCACGAGCTCTAGGAATCATACATATGTTCTGCTGCTGCAGTATACCCTGACTTCAATTTTCTTTTCCTTCTCACTGCCTTCAGGACCACAGACAGTGTCTTTTGCTGAAGCAAAAGTAAACAGAAGGAGAAGAACCTGCTTGTGATCACTGATCTCAAACAGATGCTGACCGAGTTCAGAGTGCAGGAGCTCTGCTCTTGGGACAGTTAAACTTGCCTACGTAGACACCTTTCTCATGTGAGCCATCACGAGTGGTAGAAATGCATGTGACGTTTCCTCAGGGTCATCTTGACTGGTTTTGTTCCCAGCAAGCTGAGGGGACATGGCTCTTAAAATCAGGGGAGCCACCTGCAGAATTATTTCTGGTGTTAATTGGAGAGAGTTGCTGGTACTTGTGGTAGATCACTTTTAACTTATTTTGCAGGAAAGGATAGCAATTTGCTTCTTGGAACTCACATTTATAAAATGTGACTAGTGGTTTGGTTTGTTTTTTGGTTTTGTTTTTTTTTTGTTGTTTTTTTTTTGTTGTTGTTGTTTGTTTTTCTTTTTTGTTTTTTCTAAAAAGGAAATAGCAAATAAAATTTTTTCAGTAACTTTTTTCTCCCTGTACACAATGTAACTACACATCAGAGCAGTTCCACACTGCTTTCTCAATATAAATTTGATAATACTGAGACTGTCTTCAGTTAGCAGCTCCTATGGCAGTAGAAGCTGAACTTGTTTTGTGGCCTTCACAAAAACCAACCAACCAACCAAACTTGAGTCTCTAAAAAGTTTGAGAGTAATTCCAAAATATTCTTTAAAAAGCCACAGGAGCAAGTCCATATTATGCATTTGACAATGTAGAGAGAAGAAAGATAAAAGCACCAATAGCTAGATCTGATGACAGGGAGTAAAATATTTCAACTCCCATTTCAACTTTAGCACTGATTAATCACAATTTCTGACGCATTATAGCCATACTATGCCTTAGTTTTACCCTCTATATGTTGAGGACAATCATACTCATCCCCATTTCTGAAGAGGTTTAAAATTTTTGTGCAAAGAACACCAGGTAAGTATAAATAATCATCATCATCAATTTTGGTTATTACAGAGCCTAAGTGGCTCCCTTCTTACATGATGTATGGGTGCCTTGGGAGGAAGATGAAGTATTTCAGCAAGATGCTGCCTTTTGTTACCTTTTCTGCCTTTAATTATTACTTTTCATCTTCTGATTAAGCTAGTGCTGTCTGGAAATCTTAACCAGATCAGTGAAATAAACCACTCACCTTTTTATTTGACAGCATTGGAACTCTTTCATTGTACATGGAGGTACACATTAATTCCCTATTCTTATTTTCCTTTCTTCCCCCTGCCACACAAATGAAGAGGCTAATCCTGTTTTACTCTTCCTGAATGATAGCAAAGGTGTGATTCATTTGCTCTAATTTAGTCACCATCTGCCCAAGGTCTGAGGCAGGTACCCTCAGTTTCCTTTATTATCTGTAGAGAGAAACAGCATCTCCAGAGAGCAATTTATCTTACCCTAAGAAGGGAGTGTCTAAAATAGGTCAGAAAAAAATCACACTCTGGAGATATCTATTGTATTTCCGAGAGTATTTAGGGAGCCTGAGGTGACTTGCTCAAACTTGGGCACATAACTTTTAGACATCCCACACAGAATATGCACAAGAGCTGCTAAAATGACCACATGGTAGTATAATAATTCTCACTGCAGGCTGATACCATCTAAATGGGACCGACATCTCACAGCACAGATAAAGCCTGGCATGGACAGTCATAGTTAGCAACTGTAAATTTGATGCCTGACATTAATCAGGAGATAATAGTTAGATTGTAGCTTCAAGAGCCATCAGATGAACTCGACCCAGTCCTCATTAATCAAACATGCCTTGCTTTTATATCCTGTACTTTGGGGCCTCCATGCATGAGGCAACAATACTAAAATGTGCAACTGGGTATCTCTTTTTCTGGAACAGCAAGTTCCTTATTTCTAATAATACTAAATTAGTTACTATTGATTCTCAAACATCCTGCTTATCCCAGCCTAATTATTAGCCTTCCTGCAAGGCAGGAAGGTTGCCTATAAAGGGGAATCAATTTGAAATTTGGGGCCTCACTAAGAAAAAAAAAAAAAAAAGGATGCTTAAGGTTTTTCAGGGTTGTCCAGAAGCTTGATCTTTATTAGAGGTACACTTGATGAAGTGGTAAAGATATAGGAGGATTTATTTTGCCACAAAACTGAAACACAAGACACAGATCTCCTCAGTACGTGGATAATCATCACTGTAACCATCACTGAAATGCAATTGTCTCTCAGGGGACTGTGGTACATATTACACAGCATACTGCAACAGCACATAACAGTTTAGGACAAGATTTAGCTAAACATATTGAGCTGCTGACACTCCTTCCCAAGAAACTTTGATTTCTACCCTATTAGGAGAAAGGCCTCAAGTGAGAAGATAAATTAACAATGAAACTGCCAACAAATTCAAAAAAGAAAGAAAAACACTAGCTAGTGTTTCTGTATGTAAAAGCTTATTGGTACCTTCAGAAAGCTGTCTGTATCTATCCTTCCCTTGAGTTTTCCTCTCCTACAATCCTGTTGCAATCCTAATCACTTCATATTTTGAATATTACAGCTGCTTCTTTTACTGTCTTACTAAATCCCAACTCTTCAGACTCCAGGTGTTCAAGGTACTGAAAACAAATCATATACTGCTCCGGAAAGGGCCAGCATTCTCAGCAGCACTCATTTTCTTCACTTAGAAGGTAGGTCTAACTTAATTCAATGCAATACCATCACCCTCCTCCCCAGCAAACAATTACCCTGTTTTGAACTCATACCACTTTTTGTTCATTATTTCCTCATTTCTTAGTTTCAAATGACAGTCTTAACAGTTGTCCCTCATAACCTCATCCCTAATTTTTCATCTGAACATGAACATCACAAAAGGAAACTTTCAAGAGACCTTACCTTTCAAGAGACTTGTAAGTTGCTCCAGTTCTTGAAAATTTGACTTAGTATCTTTTTCCTTTTGAAAGAATTCCCTATTAAATATAAAAAAGCTGAAATATAAAAACATTGGAGTACTCAGAAGAGCAAAGAGAGCACAGCAACTAACACTCCAGCTGCTAAGGAACTATTTAAGCCACAGCTCCCCACCTGATCCAAATTTGAGGATTAGTCTGAAAGGGGGGGTGGGGTCGAGGTGAGAATAGGAAATATGCAACTTAAAAAGTTGCCTTTTTAAGAAGTTTTTACTTCTCTACATTAAATGACAGAAATTGTTGAGCTCCTCTGTTGACACTCTTGTTCTTTTTTTATGTAATTTTTCAGTCAACAACATTTCGTGTATTGTGGTATCACGCACAACAGGGACCCTGTATAGAGACAAGCATATTCAAACTCTGTATATTTTTCATAGGAATTGGTATGGATCATGTTTTTTAGGCCAGCATTTTATCCAAAGAATCCCAAACATGCAGGAAACTTTCACCCAAACAACATCACCATGACACAATTCTTGTTTACGGAAACAAACATTTAACAGACTTGCAGTAAAATATCTGTCTGTTAAGCTCAGAATTCACAAATTCAAATGGGCATTTTTGTGTAGCTATTTAGTGAGCAGTTGTACAAATGTTTCACTTGCACACCCACGTCTTAATTTACTATGTTCATTAGGTTTAGCTCTATAGGCACATCCTTGTCTCAGAGTCAGCAGTAGTCTCCAATTTACCTTTTAAACTAGTAAAATTGGACAGAAAAATGGTACCAACAAATGAAATGACTTCTATAGATTTACTTCTTGGGCCAATATTGGAATGGGGAATAACACCAAATTCTCCTGATCCCTGGTCTAGTGTCCTTATCACAGAACCAACTTTATTTTAAATCAAAGTTGTTGAAAAACAGAGCAGCACTGAGTCTAAAATGTGTGTGTCTCATTCCGTGCAAAATCACAGTCAGATTTTGGGCTTTGCACAGCAATCATATAGCATCATACAGATGCTTCTGTGCCACAAATGTGTCACAAATTATAATTGTGACAAGTGGGAAATGTTGATCTCTCACCTGAGTCTTAAGGAACCAAACTGAACCGAGTACAGAAGCCTAAGGGCTACAGTCTGCATCAAAGATATCATCCTAATTAGTGGAGTAAAAATGATTTAGATCACACCACAGAAGTACTCAAAAATCAACACTGCCCTGAATGTAAAAATGAGACTGAAACCAATAGTTTGCCTGAACTTTGTTCGCAAATTCAAATTGCCAACGGCAGCAATGCCAGCTCTCACTGTTTTCTTTGGGACTGTTGTGATATTTGTTGTTCTTCTTAAAGTCCCAGCACCTGTGGTCAAGGGATTAGGTGTTGATCTCTGCTTCCTTCTAAAATAAAAGTAACTTTTTCAAGTTTGAGGAAATGCTTCTAAATCTTGGCTGTACATGGCAGGCTACAGACTAGTTCGTCCTGAGCTCCAGATAAACCAGACACAAAGCAGTTCTGAAGCAAAAAGCACACAGAAAGAGTGCTGTGTTACTAATTCCTGTGGAGGTCCATGAGCTCGAGCTGTCCACTATTTTGATTTTTGGAAAGCTACTTTCTTGTGTTCTACTGGTGTAAAGAATAGCCAGAGCAAATTCATGTTTACCTGTTCAGAAAAAAAGATAGAGAAAGTGAAGGAAAAAACCTCAACCCCACGTTTTCCTCAATATTTTTTTTACAATATCATGATTTTCTTACCAGGTGAGATGCATGTGGGATGCAGGATGTCTCTGTAGCCAAAGAGGTTGTGAAAGCACATTTGGTAGTGCATAAGCCTTCCAGTGCTGTCCTTTCCATGTCCTGGTCCAAGAGGGCTGTGCAGGATACGGTTCCATTTTTGGTCTTGCAATTCCAATCCACTCTCACCTTTAGTGGGACTACAACACAGTCACTTCTCTAAACCTAAGGAATTTTTGTGAAGAGAAAGAAAAAGATTTTAGCTATAATTTGACAGGCACTCTGAGCAGGTGCTGAACAGTCACATAAGCAATATGGATAAGAGACAAGAAACATTCTAAACATTCTAAAAATTTTTCTTTGTGAGCCATCACATGTACAAAATTTGCTGGTTTTGTTGATTTTGCAAGGGCTGCCTAGTAAAAGAGAACCTTACAGAAACCAAAGACTGAAGATGACTAGTGGAAAGAAGAACAGTGTCTTCATACATTTTCTCTTTTGCATGGTGTTTTCCTGCAAGGACCCATCTGAATCAGAACAGCTTTATTTGTTATGCTTCTAGAGTGAAGTAATGTGAATTCTCCTGTTCAGTGTGTGTGAACAGGGCTTTCCCTTACCCATGAAACACTTTTTTCTGTTGTTGGTTGAATACTTCTTTAAAACAAAATATCTAAAATATGAGAAACAGAAGTCCAGGATACAAATTCTAAATATTTGTCTGATTTTACTACCTGTGACTTTCATTTACTCTCACAAAATCCATGTGACATCAGTGAAATGGGGCTGGGTTTCCATCTCTGTGAGCAGTTCAGCATCAATTCCTGCATGAATTGATAAGGTGTTAAATGTGATCCACTCTGCAAAGCTGATCTCCAAGTTATTCGTGTTCAAGGGACTATTATCAGGGCAGTCCTAGCTCCCAAAGTTCAAATTCCAAATTTCCCAGTGTTGGGAAGAACCATAATATTTACCATTACCTTTAAATTTCCAATTTTCATATACATCTGCACCCTGGCACATACCTAAATATTCCAAGTACTTTATGCTTCCGATAGCTACCTGTTCCAAGTGAAATAAAGCAGGCAAAGTACACAGTAGATTACAGAGTAGATTTTTACCTGCTGCTCTGAGGCCAGATGTGAATATAACCAACATCAGGGAAACACATTTCTAATTTTTCTGAGCTACAAGACTAGAAATTAAACGAGAATTTCCATTCAGAGAGGCAGGCTTCCTTTTAGGACATGAAGGGAAGACACATGAGGGAAGAAAAGCATATTTAGATATTTCTGCCATGATAATACCATGTCTTTTAGTTTTTAAAAGGAATAGAAAACTATCTGTCTTGAATTCTCAGCAAGTTGGGCTCACAAATATTACTGAAGTGTAATAGCTCCCCCTGCCAGGTTTAGATTACAAGCTACATTTCACATATGTGTACACACATACACACACTCTCCAGAAATAAATTAACACCTATGTTAGCATTTGCTGTGCTTTAGTCTTCAATAATTATTAGATCAAAAGAAAAAATAATACATGTGCTTGATACATAATGTGCATTAAAGTACTTTTATAAAACTTGCAAAGTAGATGCTAATTGCATTCAGTGTGGGCAGGAGAAATGTAAAATTATTACAAGTGGTAAGGTAGAAATAAACTAAGTTACAAAATTTTAATTTTGCTTTAATTTACTGTTAACTTTTCATTCCCCCGTCAAATGAACCTATTTTTTTATCTTAGACACTCATTTTCATGAATGATAATTGTGGTCTAAAACAGTTGTCTGCTGGCAAGCTAGAACCAAACTCTTTTTGTGTTGCACCGTGTTCAGCCCATTTTTGGTTTCAGTGAAGATGATGACAGAAGTCCAGAGCTAACAGCCTTAACCTTCAGAAACCTACACATGAGACTAATGCCAAGAAATTCTACAGGATGATTTTGAAAGTCAAGCCATTCAACTAAAATTCAACAATTTGAATTCAGGTAGAATTCAAACCAGTCATGAAGCCCCCAGTCTTAAAAACAGTTGACAACTCTATAAACATGCAAAATTATCCTGGAGTTAGAAACTTTTGAAGACCAAATCTGTTTCTCCAAAACCATTCATTAATGCAAAATTACAAGGAACAAATTATACCACACTGTTGCACTAACACTGCAGTTCTTATTTTTCTGGGAAGTCTACCAACTTTGCTTCACTTTTACAAGAATCTTGGAAGAAAGGTAAGTAAAACCCACACATTTTATAGGTAATTGAATTAAGAAAAGCTATTCATGTGAAAGTATAGGATAATCTGGCATATTTTATGTTATGTCTCTGAGAAACAGTAAGACTCCAGCAGCATAATTTGAAGCACATGAAAGAAATTATTTGGAGTAAGCTTTATGTGGATTTAAATAGTGGTAATTTCAAGTAACACAGCCTATATGGGACACGGTGGTATACAGTAAAAAAGACACTAGATGAAACTCAAGAACATGGGATATTTTCCCAATTCTAGAACATGCATACCGGACAATTTTACATGTCTCTGGTTAGGTTTCATCTACAGAAGAGATATAATGCTAATGACTAGGCTGAAGTCTTGAAAATCTGAGTGTGAAAGCATGTCATCATAATAATATGTCCTCATTTAAGGAAAAAAAGTAATTTTACCGTCCTCTGCTTCCTCTTCCATCTCATTCCTGCCCTGGTTTATGCATTAATTTAGACCCAGAAAAATGTTTCATAATCTTGCAGTTAATTTGCAATGAGTGAGTCAGGCATCCTTCACCTTTAATGTAAATTACCAGTGTATGCGATGAATGAATTTTTTATTGCTGGCTGTTTACGCTACATTCAGTTCAAAATGTTGAGAAACTATAAATTAGGTCCTATGGAAATCATGGGATTGTTTAGGAAAACATGGTTATAATGTAATAAAAAAAGGTTATTCAGCTTTTGCTTTTTCAGCTGTTACTAAGTCACTTATTTGAGATCACTCATTTTCATGATCTGGACAAGAGATAAGGTTTTCCAATGAGTTCATCAAATCCTTAAATTCAGTGTCATATTCTGAAAGGAGTTGGACCCTGTGGTAAGGATGAAAGGGGAGAGTGTGACACAGCAGCTGTGCTGTTGTGTAGCTGTGGGAATTGAAAAGGTCCTTCCTGAAAAAAAAATTTCTCCAGGAAACACCAGTTATGATTTTAAGAGGGGAGGCACTGGAAGAGCCAAGTAAAGCTGGTGGTAGAGTCTCTTTATACCTCTGTAAAACATGTTAGAGCAGTAAGGGTTTATATGGAACTAAAAGACCACTTTGATCTCCCTGTAGTGATGGAGCTGACAACAGAAGTGAACAGCTGCAGAGAGTCTATCTGTCATGATTTTAGATGCTGAGCTTTAAGAATACACAAGAGTAGATAAAATTGAGATGAAGATAAATGCGCTTATTTCCTCATGGTTATTCCATTTCACTGTCATTAGAACGGGAATTCTCAGGCACAAACAGCACTATATTCAGAAAAAGTTATTCCACAGGCACCAGTTTTTCAAGGCTGTCCATTGCTAAGCAGGGAAGACTTTAATTCTTTTTTTTTTGCCCATTCCTTTCATTTTACTGCATTGGTATTAAACCACTGAACACTTGTTCTGAGGCTGTGATCAGCTCCAAGCTCATATCTTGTGCTGTTGACAACTGTAGTAGTAGGAGTATGGATCTCAGAAAAAGCTGCAGTAAATTGAAGCTAAGAAATTTTGGCAGCTTGAAGTCTTGTGTCCTTTGTAAGTGAAATGTTTTTTTTGATGCCTGTTTGTATAAAAATCAAAGGCAAGGCTTCTGTTTGACACTGATCTACAAATAGGGATATATTTTGTCCATTTGATGAGAAATTTGAGAAGTGAATACTTGGTTTGAGTGACACCAAACATATAAAGGAACTTGACAAAATAAAATTCCAAACTCCCTAGATCATTAGTCAGTTTTGAACACCTAACCTTTCCCTTCCAGGGGCTGGTTTCAGGAATCTATGTGGTAGGGGGGGAAACTCCATAAAAATGAAGGGAAATCACAAAATTAGGCAGGCATCAGAGAACCTTGTCTATTAGATATTTTCTCTTTCATAAAAATATTAAAAGAACAATACATGTTGATTTTTGTGAGAGAACAAGAAGCCAAGAATAGAGAAAACCATCTAAGCTTTGATGAGAGGTGGACAAAATGCATAAAAATTTCCGTATTATAGTGGTCTGCTTTCATCATGAAAAGACTTCAAGTCTCTTCTGTATGGTTAAGGTACATAGGTGTTAAAATATAGAAAGGTGAAATGGTCAAGAGGTGAACAGGAAGAATAAATACACAGGTAAAGGACAAAGTGCTGCTGTCCACATCTAGAATAGACTGCAGTATAGTTTGATTTGAGTTTATATCTGTTACTAAGCACAGAAAATTTTGTAAATGCATAATTAGCATGTCCATTTGACAGCCTACATGATCTGCCAGTACATCTGAGGAAAAAGATCAAAGCAAAGAATTCACAGACTTGTGCATGCAACTGTGAAGTTATTGTATGACGTTTTTCAGTTTAACTACAAATTCTACTTGTATGTCAAAGTGTCGTTTACATTTTTACAGAAGTTCTTCTAAATTAACTTTCATTATTTATTAATTTAATCTGATGATGTCTTATAATTAGAACTGCTTAGAGATTGACTACAGTATGGCACTTCCCTATAATTAGAACTGCATTGTTCATGATTGTAGAAGTTTTTAATATACTCACTTATACCCCTGGTTGCTTGAGGAATGAAAAGGGTGAAAAGAGCTAAAGACACTGAAAATATGATCACATGTAAATACACATAACCAGAATTTCCCCCCCCCTAAAATCTGAAAGGAATGACAAGTTCCAGTTGAGAGAAAGAAGAAAGAAGAGAGAAGGGATAAGGGCAGAGGAATAACAGAAAAGGATAATGATCTCCAAGTTGAGAAATGGCATCTGAACTTAGGTAATGTGTTAAGTTCCACGTAAACAAACATATGGACAAATGCATTTTCATGCATAAATGTTTGCATTTGTGTTCTACACTATGTTACTCTTTGTTTGCTGGCTTCTTACTCGTCAAAAAGCCTCTGTCTCATTAAAAAATGATAACTAATAAGCACAGCAACTTATTTACGTGCAAATATTAATCTGTATCTTCAACCACTCTTCCTTTTTTTTTTTTTTTAAATAACTCTTGGTCATATCTCATTTTTAAAGGATATTTATACTGCTACTTTTCCTTTGACTTAGGATTTGAACACAAAGTTTCACAAGTTTCTATTGGCTTGTTTTTGGTTGTTACAATAGGCATTAAAAACATGTTACTTTAAAATTCTAATATGAAAACAAGGCAGTTATGTTTGCTACTATCTAGGAGTTTTCCCATAATTATCACAAGTTATAAATCATTAATACATATTAACTGGATTAGGTACAAAGATGGTCAGATTGTAAGCTCTGCAAAACAAGCTGTGCATCAGAACATCATGATGTGTTTATGAACACTGTGACTTTACACCCCTAAAAGGTAATAATGGTTACAAATGTAGGCCAAGAATAGTTTATTTTAAGTGATTTAGATGGTAAAAAGCTACTCTGACATGGAAAGAAACAGTAGTAAAGTGAATGGTAGCTCAGAACTCGTTAAATTATACATACAGGTTCCTTGGAGGACTGGTTATATAACTGTGCATTTCAATATAGGAATAATGACAAATGATCATTGCATACCATAACAATCACTGCTTTTTATTTATAGCAGTATGAATTACCTCCATTTTATTTTGGAACAACAAAGCTGGTCACTGACTTTCCCCAACAGCTCTTCAGCCAAAGAGTGTCAGATGACTTCCTTGCCTTTTAAAAGGAAGAGAAATCACAGAGTAAAGGCATTGTCAAACTATAGCTTTAACTTGATTCCCTTTATTTCATATCTGACATAATGCATTGTGCATTTGAGTATTTAATGAGCCCAGCTAAGACAAAAGAAAGATGTTCTGTTCTCACTGACCTCCCTGGCTATGGCAGATCCCTGAGGTGCAAGGCAGGGGGGCAGGGAGAGCAACCGAAGTTTATCAAGAAAGCAAACATGCTGGAATGGCAAAGCAGCAAAACCTTTCACTTTCCAGATGGAGCATTGTTAATATTCTGGATTTGTGGCACTGCGTTATTTTGAAACAAATAAAATCGAGTAATAAAAAATGAAGTTCATTTGCCATATGGTTGTTTATTTCTCTGTGCTACAGCTCAGAGATAAGTAATGTATAGTTTCTCAATATGGCACATCCACACACTCTCCCCAGGTGCAGACAATATAGCACACCTAGATTAACACAAGCCAAACTCCTTTTGATTGCATTGAACATGTGGCACCGTGGTTTAAGAGATTTTCTCCTTCAGTTGAAGTAAAAGATACATTTGACAGCCAGGAGAGGGAAAAAACTGCATTTAGGACTGAAAGGAAGAGTAAAGGGAGAAGGAGCAGGTGGATGGGAAGGCACAAAAGATAACACACGTGGTTGGTTGTTCAGCATTTTCTATGTGAAATTAGTGCTCAGGAATGATAGGATTCCAACAACCCAAACAAACAAAGATTTGTCTAAAGGGGTAGTGAAACATGATCAGCAGCATCCCTGGCTCATCACCATCAGGAGATTTGAGTGGATGCAAATTTCTGGTACTCAGAAGAGCAGAGAATGACCAGAGAATAGTAAGACTTCCATTACACCTCAGACACTTACAGCTGTGTTCAGGAAGGGAGTGTTGCCTGTGTCACAGGTATTTCATGGCATTTGACAGCAGAATATAAATAGCAAAAAGAAATATAGATATAAAATATAAAAAAAAAAATCTAGGTAATGTTAAATCAATCTCCAGACCTTTCCTATTTAGCATGGAGCAGCCAGAGTCTGTTGGCCTTCTTGTCCTCTTCTATCTTGTCTCAGCAGGTGTGCCATGAGCTTTTTTTTAAAAAATAAAAATTAAAGAATCTTGCTGAAGATCTTAACATCATGAGTTACTCAATTTTTCCTAAATTTGTTAAAGCAATCCTACCAAAGAAATGCCAGTCCTGACACAGCTACCAACAGTTCACAAGTTTGGAGCATCTGGGTCTATGTGTACATTGTAGGAGATCACAGGTGTGAGTTCTTGTACACTCTCACACAAGGATAAAAGCAGGGTTTAGGATGCCAGAATGACAGGATTTGTTGTTTCTACCTTGCAATAGGACAGTTCAAATCTGTGACAGGTAACTTGGAGCAGCTACTCAACTCCTTTTATTTTCTTTAGTTCTGATGTGAGATTTTCTGTCCTATTTCTAGGACATGACTGAATTTCGGAGTAGGAGCACTACACCACTGCATGTGGGCACAGAAGCACACTGGGGAATAGTCCCACTTCTGTCTCATAGCTCAGTGGTCTAAATTGTGGCAACAGTGAGTTGATGGCTGAGACTTACCTTGTGCTGACCATAAAATGCTCATGCAAAAAAAAAAAAAAAAAAAAAATGTACTGAGGAGTTGACTCCCGAAGCAATTATTCCTACACTTTTCCAGGACTGTTCATTTAGCACAGTCATTTAAGAAAACCCATGACTACGTATCATTTAAATGACTTTGCAACCAATGAAATCCCAACCAAAGGCCTATAATAAGGAAATAAGGATATGGTGCCCACAGAAAATCAAAACTATCTTATTTTTTTTTTTTTTAATTGAGATGAGACCTTTTTTTTTCTAAATGAGACTGAGAACCTCAGAGATCCTGCAGGTTTTGCTGTGAAGAAATACTGAGTAAGCATCAAGACTAACTTGAGAGGCAAAAGCATTGTAGATCATCCATTTAAATTCTGAATAAACAGGCAAAACATATCTCCTGGTATCTCCCTAGCTATTCTGGTGATAGGAACCTTGGTGCAAAGCACTTACACACGCACTTAATTGTAAACCCAGCAGTAATCCTGATTGAATCAAGTCATCTACCTTTGTGCTTAAAGTAAAGCATGTGCTTAACTACCTTTTTGTATAGGGGCCTTAATTACATTATGTGTGTGAGAGAATGTGATAATTTTAGTTGGCTTTCCCAAGAGAGCCTTTAGTTAATAAAATAACTAGGTTTAATACTCCACAGAGTCGTATGGGAACAGAACTGTGCTCCTCCTCCTGTAGCCCAGCACAGGGTAGACTGTAATTTAATTGTTGGAAGCACAGAAAGTGCTGAAATGCTGTATGTCTTAATATTGTATTGCAAGAGCATGTTTGTTTCTATTATGGAATACCTTGGGAAAACCACTGTGCAATACTACCACTAGTTATTCATAATAGCTTTTGAATTTACTGATGTTCAGTACCAGACTTTAGCTGTTTTTCTGGATCAGATAAAGCAGGAAAAGGTTCAATTAACAGGGATTTTTTAGAAGAGAAAGAATGAACATAAAACAAAAAATAAAACTCATCTTTCCCACCAGAATCACCTGCTCCAGTGAGGAAAATTCAGTAATAACGAGAAGACTAAAATAAAAGTAGGGCAGATCTGTTTGCAAATAATTTCTTCAAAACCCCTTAATATGACTATTCTGTGTTATCCATTTCTGTTTGCAAGTCAGTGTGTAAACTCAGCCTGTGAAAGGCATGGCTGTGAGAGATGGTGGTGAGCAGAGGAAGAACTGGTAAACTCATTGTAAATCATCAGGCATCATTTTTCCCCTTGGCAAAATTGTCCAGGTATTGAGGTGTCCATTTCAACCTTCAATCCTCCACAACTTGTCACCAAAATGTTTCCTACAGAACCAGCTGCTCCCAAAGGTGATTTTAATACTGCAGGCAGGCGGAACCCAGAACCAGGTTTCTACCTGAACCTTAACACTGCAAAATTTACAGTGACAGCTATGGAGTCTGATGGAGATTTTTCCAATTTGGTGGGTCTATTTCAAGTGGTTGTATGTGTATAACATGAGTCTTTGTATAACACAGAGCTTCTTAAAAGTAATTTCCCATAATTGTTACTGATAATATGCCACAGACTTCAGAAGGTGCAAACTCCAGTAAGTGTTTTGAAATAACTGAAACAAAGCTGATTCATGTCAGGTGAGCATCTGACCTTCATTTTTCTTCACTGTATTTGTTTGCACCAGCAAGGTTGATTTTGCCTAAACGGAAAAGGCAACAATTCCTACTACTTGATTTATACATACTGTGTTTTTATGCCATAGACAGGTTTCATGCTGTATTGGTTTGACAGCATCACAGTGTGCTTTTGCTTAAAAAATAGTCCTCAGGTGGAAAAAAAAAAAAAAGAACCAAAATATTTTGAATTACCATTAGAAAAATACTAAAATAAAAATAAAATGAAAACAAATAATTAAGCAGGCAACATTATAATTTTTTTACAGATTTTTTTTTTAGATGGAAAAATGATCTTTCATCTCGAGGTAGAGAATGAAATTTTAGCATGCTGCTGTAATTTAGGATATGTTGCAATCTAGCAGTAAATTTTACAAAGCTAAAGATTAAAAAAATTTATCCATTAGAAGTGTTAGCTATAATAGTGCCTTCTGAGAATTTTCTAGTCAGTTCTCTATGGGTTTGATAGGTAAAAGGGACTTTTGTTCAGCTAACTACTACCTCACACACCCACCTGGAGCAGTTTAGCTCCTTGGGGTCAAACATTAGATGACACTTTTTGGCCATCAACCTGCCTGTAGTTCTACAGAGGCAGATATTCCACTCATTTCCTATTGCAGTGATTCTTTTGCACCAGTTCATTCTTCTTGGTGAAGGGGGAATGAATTAACAGCAGTGACATATTTGCATGGGTTTCCACACAAAACCTGGTGACTGTGGGTCCCCACAGGTGTTCAGTGTAAATGAAGGTCTGGGCTGCAGTCCCTTCCCAGACTGCAGACCAACAGAGAAATTACTATTTTAATAGCTACATGTTCAGAAGTGTCCTCCCAAAAATGTGGGCAAACAAAGCTGACTGTTTCTCCAGCATGGTGTTAATAGTTGTGCAGGTGTACAAGCCCTAACACGTGATTTTAGGGGAGAGGTTTGATAAAAACGAGCCTTGGTGTTAGTCAGGAAATTGCAGTTAAAAAAGTGATTTTCAATAATGTTACTATTTACAGGCTTAACCTTGCTTCCATCTGAGTCAGCAACAGACATCCAATGATTTCAATACTGGAGGCTAAAGCACTCAATACCTTTCAAACTATAAGGTCAGAACACAAATTCTTGATGTATAGACCCCCAGCTGGCAAGGGAAAGAGGAGAAAAAATGAAGGTCTACAACGTATATGTTCAGAAGTTTGAGACCTAAGTTCACCAGTTCAGTTTTCTATCTAAATATGTATAAATTTCAAAGTAATAGAGGCACTAAATTGGCGAAGTACACATATATTAACTCAGATTAAGTTCAGATACATGTAACAACCAGCACCCAACTTCAATCACTTGAGTAGTTAAAGTATTTGAATGGCTTAAATTTAGTCATATGCTTAAATTTAATCCAGACTGCCTCTTTTTAGAAAAGTTTTATATTTAACATTTGCCTAAATACTGATTTAGGCTCCAGGATTTAAACCTGCAGAATAATTTTAATTTAGAAAGGACTGATGTAAGAAGGGGGACGAAATTATTTCCTTCTTCTGAGAGGAGATTGAAAATCATAGACAGAAAGAGATTCTGATATTCCATGTAACACCCCACACTATCCTCCCCCTTCTACCTTCCATGTAACACCCCACACTATCCTCCCCCTTCTACCTTCACTGTACATAGAAGTTCACTCACTGCCATTCACTTCACAGGAATAAACTAATTTGAAAACTGTTTTTACATCTCTCCTCAGTTTTCTGATCT